TTTTTTTTTTTAATATAATATTTCATGGTTGATCTTTGTTTTGAAAAAACAATTGTTTTAAGTCATTGTTTTGAGGCTGTGTCACATATTATTAGCTCTTATAGGCTACTATTAAGACATCAATATGTTTTGTATATTTTTGTGAGAATGAAAAGGGAATAAAGCTCAATTTTGGACTCGATCATAAGGACGATCTGTATTCTAAAATAATAAAATGCACTTTAAAATCAGCAGTGTAGCTGTGAATTCATTTTTTTTGTTTTTATGCCGCACACGGGGAGGCGCGCGCAGTCACGGTAGTTACCGTTTGTGACCGAGCCGCTTGAGCTCGAGGCTCTGCGAGAGAAACAGTTAGTCAAGATTTTACACCGTCAAACACGGAACTGAGAGCCAGAATCAAATCTATCTTACCGCTGTGGGTTTCGGCAGCAAATAACATTTTAGCATGCCAGGTGAGTAAAGTTTATCACTTCAGCGGATGTAATACCTGTAGAGATCAGTTACCTGGACTCTCGAGGAAAACTGAGCGAACAGAGATGGTCTTTGTGTTTTCGTTTTATATTGTAATATAAAGTCAGTCATGTAAGTACATTTTCGGGTGTTCTGTTGTCTGGGTTCATCTACAGGGCTCTGTCGTGTCCGTAGCGCATCAGTTGGGCTCAGAGAGAAAGAGTAAACATCCCTGACTGAAAATCTGTATCATTCAGGAATGTGGTCCGGTCTTATAGAAAGAGTTGAAAATGTCCTGGAAAAGACATAAGATGTTTTTGTCTCGTTTGTTTGAAGAATCATATGTAGCTCAAAACATCTTCATTAGCCCTGTCCTGCGAAACGAGTTACATCTATGGCGTTACTGTAATTTGGGTCCAAAATCTTTTTGAACCCGTATAATATGGTGTACAGTTAGCCTGATAATGATTCATTTCAAATACAATCAGTACAACTGACGCAGCAATCTTCAGGCTATGTCTGCTAGATGTGGAAGTTACTGGGTTTCTTGATATAAATGGTCTCTGTACAGGAAATTAATATGTCAGAGTGTATGAATCTAAGTGCACTGGAGGCTTATCATATGCAGTGTACTCTGAGCAAACAAAACCACTGGCCTTACCATCTGAAAGTGAACAGAGGAGAGGGTCCGGGTAAAACAGATGCCCTCAAGGCAATCAATTCAACTCCATATGGATTAACCAGAAATTAGAGTAGAATTCAGTGGAGCATTTTACTTGTACTTCTAGAATGATGTAGAGACTGCAGATCTGAGTGAGACCTGTAGAAGCTTATTGGAGCAATGTCTGGATTTGTGACTTTTGTTTTTGGGTAAACGCTATCAGACGTTGTCTCTTCACCTTTGCTGCTGTGCCTTGCACGTGGTGATGTTAAATGCGAAGCCTTCCAAGAAATGCTTACTAGTTACAAAGGTTTAACTGATGTCTGCTGGACAATGGGGTGCTTTGTTTTGTAATATTGTTGTGATTGATTTCAAGAGTATAGTATAGAGTATGTAGGAAGCAGGTTCCCCCTTGGTCATTGAAGACATGTAAATATCAGGTAATTCTAAAATTAGTTTTGCCTAAAAAAAAATGGAATAGTGAATTTAAATCTAGATATAAATATAGAAAGCGAATCCTCTACAGGTGCATCTCAATAAATTAGAATGTTGTGGAAAAGTTCATTTATTTCAGTAATTCAACTCGAATATTTTATTCATTTATTTTTGGAGACTTTTGTACATTTGTTGAGATCCAATCCAGGCCAGCAATCTTTAAGACTTGTTAAAAAAAAACTTAGGCATGAATGACTGTAAAAGTCATGGTCATAAAGGGTGGGAACCCTTAAAAAAGCCGTGACTGAAGAAGAAACTTCATATAGAGAAGTGTCGTCTCTAATCTTCTGTAAATTGCTGCAAATAAGTGTAAAAATTCTATATTACATCCAAGTATAAATGGAAGTAAATATTAGTCTTTTCAGTAGTTTCCAATTTGTCATTGTTACAGGTATTATTAAATTGTTAAAAAGGACTGTATAAAGGTTTTGCTATCATGTCAGAGCTGCTGTTTAGCTCTGTTTTTCATTTTGGTAAGTTTAAAGTAGAAGACGCATTTTTATGTTCTGTCTCCAGCATTTCACAGTCAACTTTACACAACTGGTTAGTATGAAAGTCGAGATTAAATTAGTCATTGCTTGTTAATTTATGCAGAAACTGGTAATGTAGTAAACTAAACATGTTGGATGTTTATGTACTTTTGACGATGACTGATGTTTAATAGGTCATACATCTGATCTTAGCTTAACAGTCATTGTGGTACAGAGTCTGGCTTGGCTTCCATAGTCAGCACTGTACAGATGAACTCTTCCACTCAAAAACGTTCCTGGTCGATCAAAGGGTTTAGGCAACAGGAAGTGATTCTGAAAGTTTGCTATGACAAAAATCTTTGACCTTTGGTTTCGTGAACAGTCAGCTACTAGAACAGAACATTAATGTTGTCAAACGCTTACCAGTATTTATCTGGGAACTTCTGAGAAATGCCCATTATGAGCCTTAAAAATGTTCATCTGTCTTTATCTCTTTTTA